GCAGGGAACTGCTAAGGCAGCTGCACCCGGTGCAACGATCACAAAACAAGAGACCCGAGAACTAGAAAGGCGAGGCTCACCACCCATTTATCCCTCTGCCTTTCAATTAGCCCCACATGTGATTATCGGCCAGGTTGGCACAATTAACTAACTCAGTTAGTTTCACAGAAAATGGGGGGACGTTTTCTTATGCCATTTACAGTCCTAACCCAAGGCACAGCTCCGTGGTGACCCTTGCATGTGGGCTAAAGTGAAAGAACCCAGGGTCATCAGACAGATGTGACCAACCAACCACAGCAGGTGCCAGCCTTCCAAGCATGTCAGAGCCTGGGCACGGGGGACTTCTAGCACCAGCTTCTCAAATGGCCCAGCTGTGGAGGGGAGAAGGCATCTGTCTAGCCGCCAGACCTCAGGAGTGCTGGGGGAAGTTGGCTCTTCATTTAGATTGAAATATGTTATGCAAATTTCTCAATGCACTGACCCCAACGTAAAACTCACCTGACACTAACCGCCCACAAAGGTCTCCATTTGAAAACCACTATCAGTGTCCAGATGTAGCTCCCACAGGAAAGAAAACTAGCCATTGTTCCCCAAACGGCAGGCCTGCAGAGTTCTCGAGGCCCTTCAACTCTACTCTGGCTCTCCCCGTAACAGCCCACGCGTCTGAGTCTCTTGGGCTGCTGTCACTTATGAGTAACAGGTGACTGTTAGGCCCCAGCTGTGCACTGGCCCTTGCTACTCTCTGCCTCACCACAGAGGAAACAGCTATGGCTACTGAAGCATTCAAAAAAACACACACAAAACCCCGGATCCAACTGATGGCTCAGTCACAGGCCGGCCTCAACCAGAGTCACGCAAGCATGAAGGTCTGGTTTGGCGCCCAGGTGCACTGCTCAGGCATGGGGAACCACAGTGGGTTACAGAAGCGCTCTGTGCCTCCATTTCCTCAGCTAGAGAACGGGGCGATTCATATTCCCATTGCAGTTGCTCTGAGGATTAGACATTATGTGTGGAAAGTGCAGGGCAGGGAAGAGATCATTCACTATTGTTCTCGCCTCCCTCCTCATCTGTGTAGGGAAGTGGTTCTCAACCTTCCTCAAGCTGAGACCCTGTAATATAGTTCTTCATGTGGTGGTGACCCGTCCCCCAACCATAAAATTATTTTTGTTGCTATTTCATCAGTCATTTTGCTACTGTTATTGAATCAGGTGACCCCTGTGAAAGAGTCGTTTGACCCCCAAAGGGGTCACATCCCACAGGTTGAGAACCGCTGGTGGAGGGCCTCCCTGGCCTTGATGAGAGGAGAGTGTGGGGTGCCAGCACCCTGGGCACAG